GCCGACCCATATTGACAAGTCTAATGACGTGACAATATCATGTGATATTAATATGATGATGTGGCAATGCAGACGTAGCATTGACATGTCACGTGACAGATCAGAAAATTTTTAAAATAAAAAATTTTACTACGTCATAAAGATTAAATTAAATAAAAATATATAAAACATGAATTAAATTGAACAAACTTGAGATGTTAAGGGATGAAATTGAAAAATATTTAAATAATATAAATATTTAAGTAGATTATTGATATACTTATTAATAAGCTAAATATTTAAGTGTAAAAGATTTATGGTGTTCAAAAATATATATAAATATTTTCTTACTTGATTATTTGATTCTAAAATATGTATATTAATTTATCTCTTTTACAAAAATTAAGTTTGAATTATCTTATAAAAAATGTTTTGAAAACATTTCATACTTAAACTCAAATTTCGATTAGTAATTTGCATTATATTATAATAAAATAATATAAAATAACAAAATAAATTCTTTTTTCTTCTATTTATAATAAGATAAAAATTTAAAATTTATTTAATTAAATTTTTAACTTGAGCTAAACTCAAATTAACAAAACATGATGATTTAGTTATTACTTTCACAATTTACAAGCACCTATTCTTTTGAAATTATTCAACTTTTAATTAATTTATCTTTTATTTAAATTTACTCAAATTTTTTTTATAAAATAACTTTATTTAAATTTAAATACCACAATTAAATTCTGTTAAATTTAAATTTAAATTATTAATTTGAATCAATAAAAAATTTATTAAAAAAATTAAAATAATATAAATATTTACAATTATGTTTGACTTTATCAATCATAAGTACAATCTTTAATCTAAAAAATTTCAACAAAAAAATAAAACTTAAAATATTAAATAAAATAAAAATATAAAAAATAAATAAAAAATTAAAAAAATAAAACTGAAATTCTATGATTGTAATAAGAGATTTGTCAATCATTACTAGCTTCATATTTTCGTTCTTTATTTTT